ATTCTTCTTAAGGTGACTAAAGACAAATAAGATAAGTTTATTAATTATCATTGCACAGGTACAAACACTTGGCTTTTTAGTGAATAGTATTTTATTGACTCTTTGTTCTTACTTTTTACATTTGGATATCATAGCTATTTATATGACTGCGACACATCTCTAAATCTATTGTCACATTATACAGAATTGCTAAACTTTGACAAGCTTTGCACCCATCAATAATACATAATTGATGCATGATCGATGCCCCATGCAGTATCGTGCCAGGCTCCACATGTCACGTCATGCCCTTACTACAATTTTTATGCTAACAATATATATTATTAGTATTATATTAAAACTATTATAATACTCTTTTCCACTTTATTAAATTACTAAATTAGAAAATTCAAAGCAATATGTACAACTAGCATGCTCTGTACAGCTCTCTCAAAGACACAACATCCAAATATAATAATAACTTAGTGGCAAGTAACAATAGAAAAATCATTAAAAAAATAACAAATGTCAAGAAAACCATTCTATTCAAGAGACCAACACCAATCAACAGTAGAAAAGCAGATATAACACAGGAAATGAATCTTACAAACCCTAAATACCAGAGGTCCATGAGTTTGTTAAAAGCAGATACAACTGATATCAACATGGAAGGAAACCTTTTAGATACTGAGAATAATCGAACCAACAGCCAGGAGTACCCAAAAACAAGACCAATAACAAATCCAGAGCATACAGACAAAATGAAAGAGAAAAAAAAAAGAAGAAGAAAATAAAACTTTCACCTATACCAAGAAAAGAAAAAGAAAAGAATCAGATATATTAGTTCAGGACAACAACAACATCAACAGCAACAACAAAAACGTGAACACACTTTGCAATAGCAAAGTCTTCTTTATACTTAACCAAGTACCTGGAAAAGACAACCAGAAAAAAATCAGATTTATACAGGAGAAAATGACAAGTATGCCCTTCCTCAAACATGTTAGAGTGGAAGAGTCAACAGGAGAACCAAACATCATAGCTATTTTCAGTAACTACACAGATGCCGAAGAAGCATGTACACACCCAGTCGCAAAGTTCGAAAACTTCAAACCAAGATTAATACCAATACTTAGCACCAACAAAACCAATTACAGATCAGTTAGAATCTGGGATATCCCTCAACAGTTTTTTAAGAAAGATATTGCAACAGGATCCATCAAATTCGATTCTATTAAGTACATTCAGATGCAAACAACAGGACCACACAAGTCAGCAGTAGTAATCTTCACTCATCAATTGGACTATGACACAGCCATAAATAATTGGTCAGTAATGATAGAGGGCATGACAATGAAAATGTTCCCATACTACCATACAAGAAAAACAAGACTAAAAAGAGATGAGTTCAGTATTACACTAATCAAGTTTTCAGACTTGATAACAGCTCAAGATCTCAGTAATATCATGCAACAAGTCAGTGCCAAAGCATGTCACACATCACAAACAAATGAAATGTTTAGAAGGTTTGCAAGTTTAAATTTTGCCTCCCATGAAGATCTTATAAAAGCAACAGCAAATAATATTGATTTCAAAGGACACAAGCTCACATGCGTGGCTAGAATAGCAAAACTCTGCCACTACTATGGAAACACCCAATACATGATCACAAACTGTAATATTAAACCTCTGGACAACTCTCGCACAAGATATAAAACACAATCTGTAGTCAGATTTTCCACATATCAAGAGGAAACATACTACAGCAACAAGAACCAATATAGGCATAACAAATCAAACAGAAGTTATGCCGAGATAACTCAAGGAACCAACATACATCACCCCTCAAATAGTAAGCTCCTTGCCCTCATCCACCACATACAAAAAACAATAACAAAAGTACAACACCAGATAAATCAACTAAAGAAAAGTGTTAGCATATTGAAGGAATATACAGCATATAGGCACATGGATAAAATGAAAGAAGACACTGAATTCACCTCTAACTCCACAATCTTCACAATAAAACAACTAACTGAAACAAAAGACATCAAAACAACTCAAAGCCTGATCAACAAAAACTCAACAAAATGTGAGAAACGATAACACAGTTCATTAAACTCTTCAGTAAAAATCTCTTAAACCAAAACAGCCTTTTCAACTTGACTAGTTTTTAACAATGAATAGCAAATCAAGCATGAGCAAACAAGTCTCAGAAGAGCATAAACATAACAATGGACCACAAAGAATGAAATATTAAAGAAGTAAAGCAAATCGATCAAACGTAAACTTGTGACACACCATTGACTCATTATCACTCAAAATTACTACAACCAACATAAGAGAAATTAACAATGACAACAAAAGAGGCATCTGGTTCATGCAATGGCACATTTATAATTGGAATATAGTTATCACTATGGAAACAAACAGCAAAGCCCAAAATGAAAAATACTGGAAAAACAATCTATACACAATATACTGGACATCCAGCATACAACAGATAGGAGAAAAAATCAAAATAAGTATCAAAATGCACATCTTAAAAAGAATCAAACAAAAACAGACTATTACGGGAAGGACAATTTGCCTCAACTTAGTATTCCCCAGAAAAAAATACCACAGAATAATCAGTGTATACTCATATGCAGTTCCATTAAAAAGAGCAAAACTTGAAATTGAAATAAACAAATAGCTAAACAAAGCAAACAAAGACAACTGGGAAGTTATTTTGGGGAAAGATCTAAATAATATTCATAGACCCTCACTAGATAGATTCTTACCTAACAAGAAAGACAGGAGAGATAGATAGCATAGTAACAGCTTATTAATTAACAATCTAATAACAGTAGAAATGGCAGATACATTCAGAAACATATATTCACTTAGGAAAGAATACATATGGGAGAACTTAGCACATAGCAGAAGTAGAATAGATCAGATATAAACCACAAACAAAGGCAACAGCATAATAACAGCTGCAAATATTCTCTCCCCATCCAAGCAAATACATAACACAAACCACAGGATTATCACAACACACATTACATTCCCCAAGTTGTGTATAAACAAATAATTAAACAGAAGAAGACTATCAAATACAAGATACAACTGGGCCATAACCAAATCACACAAGTGAAAGGCATAGGCAGAGAAGATTGACAAAAAATGTGCAGAGGTGGCTAATACCTGAGGAAAGGGTATACAGACAGATATTAATACCCAGTAGAACAAACTAAGAGACATCATTCTAATAACAATCAGTAAGCACATCAGGAAAAGTTAAAAAACATAAATGCTACAGCAAAAACAAAAAAGTAACAATCAATACAGCAAATGCAATTGGCTTGATAGGTATATTGCAGATCATACAGGGAGCCAAGGATTTCATCGAATATAATACTAAGACATACATACTTCAAAGAATCCAGAAACTTACAAATGTTTACAGTGAGCAAATTGATCAGCCCACAACATGGACACCATCCCATATGACCAAATGGATCACATAAGTTAAAAATACAAGGAAAACCATGCAAGATGCATGCAAAACACTGCTAGCAGAATTCAAGAAAAAGGCGATAAGTATAGCTCTCAAGGCAAGAATAAAATGGATGGAGACGGATAAAAAAAGAATAATAAACAGCATCTTGAATAACAAATGCATACAAATCATACTTGATAAAATCATTACACAAGGAAAGGAACCAGAAGTCATACTGGATAAAGAAAAAATCAAGCAAACAATCAATGAGCATTTTGCCAACTGGACAAAAGCAGAATTACACAACATAATCATAGATGAATGGATACATAAATATGTGCCAATAAGACATATTCAGACAGAATGGTACAAGGACCTGATATCCGAAATCAATACTGAGGAACTTACAGAAGTAATAAGAAATACAAACAATAAATCTGCACCTGACCATCACAAATACTGTACAAAGCTCTAAAAAACCTAGGAGCACAAACAACAAAGGTAATTAGGAAGATATGCAACAGTGTAATAGTGACCAAAAGGATGTCCACAGAGTGAAAATATGACATTATATATCCAATTTCCAAGATATTAGACTGGGAAAACAATCTATCAAAAGTCAGACCAATTATATTGTTAGAGTTCATAAAAAAATATTCACAAAAATATTGACACTAAAACTATTAAGAGTTCTAACAGCCCATCTGATCCTATCAGAATACAACTGGACAGTATTATCCAAGTTAAGTACATGAGAACCAATTAAAATAGTTAATAGCATAATTGAAAATGCCAAGCTTCATAACAAAGAATGCTGAATAGTTTTCCAAGACATTTCCAAAGTGTATGACAGCGTCAATATAAATATGCTCAAGTTTGTACTAAAAAGACTCAAGATACCAATCACTTATATCAATCTGATAAGCAAAAATTTCAATGACTGAAGGAATACAGTTATCACAACAATCAGAAACACAGACCCCTACAAAGTTCTAGGAGAAATAGATCAAAGAAATACAATTTTCCCAATTCTTTAGAAAATTTATTATGACTCCCTCATTATTAGAATATCCAGAATAAAGGGTTATACTGTTACTGGATATGGTGAGTCTGTCGCTAATCTGAAGTTCAGGCTCATGTATTGATATGAATAAGGGTTTTTAAATCATTTGCCTAACCAAAGATACATATTAATAGACTTCCTTTATTTTGTATTGCCAGGTTAATCCTCTATTACAAATTCCTTTATGTGCCTCTTAAGATTCTTTAACAGCCAATAACTTTTGCAAGACAGGTTTATTAATGTTTAAAATAAGTACAATTGATTTTTATTATATTGTATTGTCTCTATTATTATTCTTCGTTGCTGGCAATCTACTACTATTTATAATAGTGCTGACATGTCTTTCTTAATCTACGATGCATCCTGCAGCCAACTGATGCATAAACTTATGCATTAGTGATAACACGCCACTACAAAGTCTAATTTATTATACAAACTAGAAAAACGTTTATTAATATCTATATTAAAATGTACAATTTTTATGTCAACAATATATACATCATGAAGGAAACAACATAAAACAATCCATATACACATATGGAAAGAACCAACATATCAGTCGCTGCATATATGGATGACACCACAAGGATGGCAAACAACAGAAAGGAAATGCAGGCCATTATAAAAACAGTGGAGTTATTTTATAAGCTGACTAACATTCAAGCGAATCTCCAGAAAACACATATAATAGTATTCAAACAAGACAACCTATCCATAATTAATTTAAGTGGGATAAAGATCAAGCACACAGATGATTCTGTGAGGTACCTGGGGATTTGGATACAAAAGAAAGGCAGCAAAAGCTTTCAAAAGCAGTTATTGAAAGAACAGCTAACACAAATTCTCAACAAACTTAGATAGAAAAAAATAACAGATAAACAAATAATATATATACTGAATTACGTGCTGTTCCTGAAACTGAAGTATCTTCTCAATAACATTGTACTCTTAAACAGGGAAGTTGACAAATTAAACTGAAAAATAAGACATATAGTGAAACACAAATTAGATTTTGCAACAACAGCCCCTAATGCTCTCTTCCATAGCCGCCTAGGATACAACATATTCGATTTACAGACTAGACAACTTCAGAAATACACAGCAGACACAAAAGCACTTATTGATTATCATAATATAGTCTCATACATTACCAAAGCCAACATAAGGAACATTTAATAGAGAGCATGGATATCAACATTAGTAACAGACACATGCCCGAAGCTGTTCAGAAATAACCAAAACTTTATATATGACATACTAAGAAACAGCCAAATATACAACATCAGGATTACAATGGAAGCAAAAAAAAAGAAAAGCATGTATGAAGATGCACACAAGCTAACAACTATAGAAGAAACAATGGGAAGAGAATGGTTCAGCAGAAACAGAGAGAGACTCAGAAATCAAAAACTAAAATGGATAGAACAACTCATTAATATAGACATAACCAAATGCAATACATGGATCAGCATCATAAAGTTACTCAATATGAAAGTGGGAGGTCGCATTTCAACATTCTATGAGAAAATAAGAAAGAAATTAACAAACCTAACAGACATACAGAGAAGAATGCTCAGGACACCTGGTAGCAGAACAAACACATTCAGAGTATGGTATAAAACATATAAACTTATATTAAAGGAACTTAAAAATCAAAACAGAGAATGGATGCTGGTTGACAGTAAAACAGAGCAAACAATAGAGAAACTAAGGAAGAGAAAACAAAACACCATGATACTCAGACACTATATCCAGCAGCCACAGGTATCTTCAATAGAACTATGTGAAAGCTGCATGAAGAACACATATGTTAACAAAAGAGAGAATGTATTGTTAGCCTTAACTGCAATCTGTCGCTGATCTGGACCAAGACTCATGTAATGTTGGATAAGTGAATCTATGTTACTGGCGATACCAAAGGTACATATAGTGATAATTATTCTAATCTTTCTTATATTTAGCTAGTCTTCTCCTCTAATCCTTTCCCTATCGAACTACAAGGTCCTAGATTCAACTTAAGATGACTAAAAACAAATAAGGTAAGTTTATTAATTATCATTGCACAGGTAAAAACATTTAGCTTTTCAGAGAATAGTATTTTATTAATTTGTTCTCTCTCTTTTATATTTGGACATCATTGCTATTTATATGACTGCAATGCATCTCTAAATCTATTATCGTGTTATATAGAATTGCTAAACTTTGACAAGCTTTGCGCCCATCGATCATATATAATTGATATATAATCGATGCCCTATACAGTACCACGCCAGGCTCCACATGTCACATCATGCTCTCTACTACAATTTTTATGCTAACAGTATATATGATACATGCAAAGAACACAAGCTGTGTAAGTATATAAGTAGCAAGAACAAACAAAATACAAGAGATCCTAATAATATAAGAAGTAAACTAAAGACGTTAATATCACTAACAAGTATCAAAATAATAAGAAAAACAAGAGAAACCAGTGACAAAGACCTTAAAACAGAAGTAGTGATTGCACTATCAGAAGAATTCCAAGCAGAAAGTCTGTTTACAAACCCTAGCATCAAA